ACTTAAAACACGTTTCAAAATGTCAAAATTTCAAAAGTATTGGTAAAGGGATGTCATGTTGAGACTAAGTTTAGTACTCTTTATTTCATTGGCATTGTTTGATCCATTTTGTGGATGTATTTAATCTAGAGCCAATGTTTTACATTACTTTTGTATAAAAGTTATTTATTTCTCTGTTGATAATGTTTCCTTTGTGGATTTTTTCTTGCAAGGTTTCGTGTTGGTTTTCTTTAAAGAAATATTCCATTTAATGTAAAGAGGTAATTATACGATGGCAATTATGTCATTGAAAACATCATTCTTGTAATCAATCTTTAGCAATGGTTGTAGATTTCTTTCAACAACACAGATGTGTTGTTTCATCTATAAAATGTATTCCATATATACCAGCTGTAATGTAATTACAAACGAACCTGCCTAGATAGGTTGTGCTATCCTACTGTGTATCAATAGAAATGTAATACATTCAATTGTCCTGCTGCCTTTCAGTACGACATCTGAAGGTTACACCTCCACATGTATAATTACTGTAATGTCACCTCTATCTTATTTACACATGGACAATCATTCTTTTGTCCGTAAAAAACATCAATTTCATACACAAAGTTATAAAAATAGTGATTTAATAACGGGCCATAAAAACAGTGATTTAATAACGGGCCATAGATTCCCAGTGTTCCATATAGAGGGCCAGTGGATTGGAATTGTGATCATTTCAATCAAAGACACCTAACATTGGACTGAAATTTAATCAAATAGAATAGACCTTTAATTGTTGAATGGCATTCTTGTCATATTCTTTACCAAATCTTATAATATCTGTGTGAGCTAATATTTTACTTGGGAGCCCAGTTGGAAGTAGTATTATAGGTAGGATGATCTGAATGTTTTGGTGTGTACCTTGAGAGATCTGACTGGAAGAAGTCATAAGAATAACACCATTTAACTAGGGCCTTTATACTGTTTGATCTCTTCTGTCTGTTGAAGAAAACTGGTGGTGGTGATATAGGGACATACACAAACATTGAAATGCCTCACCTTTAACGAGATTAAGAAGGCCTTGGGTACACAGGTAGAGAAATAGAATTGACTGGCACACCTTGTGATTGACGTGCTATCGTTTCATTTTCCTGGTGAACAGTTGTACACCTTTTGGGGAAAGTTATTATGATTTCGTTCCTCACTAATCAGTTCTGATAATGTTAAATTGGTTGGAAGATATTTTTCACTGGCTGTAATAGGACATTGTGTGTTCTGGACGTTTTTGGAATGATGGACTCATGACCAGAGTTAATGCATGTGTTGTGCATTTTACCTGTCCTGTGACTGTAGGTGATCGATCAGAACTGGGACTCAACACTTCATACCTGCTACCTACAGTAAACACATCGTTAAAAAGATGGGATTTGAAATTCAAATTTACTTTTCAATACATGTGTGGTTTTGTATTTAAGTGTCGTCTAAATGGTATGCATGTATCTGCGTGGTGATGTCTATACATGTTTGCTTGTTCACAATAATATCAAAAGAAATCAGTGATTTTTTCGGATATGGATGTTTATTTCATATAAGGATGCAAACTTCAACCACAAACAACATTTTAAACATTCAAAAATTTGACTTGAACGGATGCATTATGTAAGAATTGAGGAAATTTAAATTTGAAATTGATTTGTTTGTGTAGTTAGATTTCGCAATCTTCAGACGTGAAAGGTATCTTATCTGTTAAGAACAGTCGTTAGTGGAGGTGTGTAAAATAGTGCCAATGTGTCGTGTAATTAGGGTACAGTTCCCTGTAATGTGTTATTCTTTAATTGGGACTCATAGGGACTTACAGGTACCTAGAGTCATCAGGAAGGGGTTGATTTATCAGTATGAACCCTGAGGTATCAGTGTTGTGTTGACCGGCTGTGGTGTTGTCCATTTTGGAGATTGCCCTAAGGGGCAGAGGTTTATCAGGATAATTAAAGGAACAAATGAATTACAGTCCATAGTGCTAATCATTTGTCTGGTGTGGTGAATAGGTGAGGACACCTAACCAGGTACCAGAACTTCATGTTTGTTAGGACAGGTAGATTATCTCGTCAAGAGGTTTATAGACAAATAGATCTTTATCACCTGGAGATTCTGTGATGTTAACATGATAGCAACAATACAGATATATTGATAGGATCAAACGAGACTTGTTCAGCTGCACTTACACTGGGATTTAACGAGAAATTATCATGAGTACTTGGATTACGTACAAGATACTTATTGTATCCCAGAGATCTGTGTGGTAAAATTTGCTGATAAATTATAGATGTAATAAATGAACATGCAGTTTGATAAAAACAGTGCGTACATGCGAGCTCTCACTCCTGATCATCTGAGTCTGAGACCAAAGAAGAACAAAGATATGCGAAAACTCTCTCTAACGTTTACGTACAAGGATTTTTATCACTTTTTAAAGGTTGGTTTTAATCTGTAAACATGTTTTACTTTCAAAGAGATTGATATTTTGGTTTTCCACAGTACATTACTATGCTTATTACACTATTGGTATGTATTTATGCCCTCAGCATATCAGTTGGCTTTAGCTAGAGAAGTAAAAAGGACAGTCAAATATTTTTGTCCTATTTCCATGATAATCTGAGTCTCTATCAGTGAATTGTATGTATTGCTATTATGCCCTTTCACACACCCCTTATATTAATACTTCCCAGTACCAAGGATAAGTACCTAACTTGAGTTAATATAGAATTAGATTTTGTTATTGTCTTTCTGATGATATAAAGGAATTATTTAATGAAAGGTGATACATATTGAATAGATCTATATATCTGATAGTGAATACCCACACACTTGTGTATGTTATATAGCTTTATCTGATAGGGAATACCCACACACTTGTGTATGTTATATAGCTTTATCTGATAGAGAATACCCACACACTTGTGTATGTTATATAGCTTTATCTGATAGGGAATACCCACACACTTGTATATGTTATATAGCTTTATCTGATAGGGAATACCCACACACTTGTGTATGTTATATAGCTTTATCTGATAGGGAATACCCACACACTTGTATATGTTATATAGCTTTATCTGATAGGGAATACCCACACACTTGTGTATGTTATATAACTTTATCTGATAGGGAATACCCACACACTTGTATATGTTATATAGCTTTATCTGATAGAGAATACCCACACACTTGTGTATGTTATATAGCTTTATCTGATAGGGAATACCCACACACTTGTGTATGTTATATAACTTTATCTGATAGAGAATACCCACACACTTGTGTATGTTATATAGCTTTATCTGATAGGGAATACCCACACACTTGTGTATGTTATATAGCTTTATCTGATAGGGAATACCCACACACTTGTGTATGTTATATAGCTTTATCTGATACCCACACACTTGTATATGTTATATAGCTTTACCCACACACTTGTGTATGTTATATAACTTTATCTTGAATACCCACACACTTGTATATGTTATATAGCTTTATCTGATAGGAGAATACCCACACACTTGTATATGTTATATAGCTTTATCTGATAGGGAATACCCACACACTTGTATATGTTATATAGCTTTATCTGATAGAGAATACCCACACACTTGTGTATGTTATGTTATATAGCTTTATCTGATAGGGAATACCCACACACTTGTGTATGTTATATAGCTTTATCTGATAGAGAATACCCACACACTTGTGTATGTTATATAGCTTTATCTGATAGAGAATACCCACACACTTGTGTATGTTATATAGCTTTATCTGATAGAGAATACCCACACACTTGTGTATGTTATATAACTTTATCTGATAGGGAATACCCACACACTTGTGTATGTTATATAACTTTATCTGATAGGGAATACCCACACACTTGTGTATGTTATATAACTTTATCTGATAGAGAATACCCATACACTTGTATATGTTATATAGCTTTATCTGATAGGGAACACCCATACACTTGTGTATGTTATATAGCTTTATCTGATAGGGAATACCCACACACTTGTGGATGTTATATAGCTTTATCTGATAGAGAATACCCACACACTTGTGTATGTTATATAGCTTTATCTGATAGGGAATACCCACACACTTGTGTATGTTATCTGATAGGGAATACCCACACACTTGTGTATGTTATATAGCTTTATCTGATAGAGAATACCCACACACTTGTGTATGTCATGTAGCTTTATCTGATAGGGAATACCCACACACTTGTGTATGTTATATAGCTTTATCTGATAGGGAATACCCATACACTTGTGTATGTTATATAGCTTTATCTGATAGGGAACACCCACACACTTGTATATGTTATATAACTTTATCTGATAGGGAATACCCACACACTTGTATATGTTATATAGCTTTATCTGATAGAGAATACCCACACACTTGTGTATGTTATATAACTTTATCTGATAGAGAATACCCACACACTTGTATATGTTATATAGCTTTATCTGATAGAGAATACCCACACACTTGTATATGTTATATAGCTTTATCTGATAGAGAATACCCACACACTTGTGTATGTTATATAACTTTATCTGATAGGGAACACCCACACACTTGTGTATGTTATATAGCTTTATCTGATAGGGAATACCCACACACTTGTGTATGTTATATAGCTTTATCTGATAGGGAATACCCACACACTTGTGTATGTTATATAACTTTATCTGATAGGGAATACCCACACACTTGTGTATGTTATATAACTTTATCTGATAGGGAATACCCACACACATTTGTGTGTTATATAGCTTTATCTGATAGGGAATACCCACACACTTGTGTATGTCATGTAACTTTATCTGATAGGGAATACCCACACACATGTTATAGTATTGATTTAGAATTTTTTTTTTTGTGAGGGGAGTGGGGAGAACTCTTACAAAACAAGTCACCAGTGAAATGTGTAAGATATATTATGTTATTTTTATGCATTGTAGAGAGAAAAGGAAAGGACAACAGTAGATGATGGAGGTGAAAGATGGGCCAAACCACACAATATCCGGCATCGCAAGATGTCACGGTTACAGCAGCCTCTTAGTCATTCTCATGAGGTAAGTAAAACTAAAATTCAAAAAGGTCATTTTCCTAGGTCAAATACAGAAGAAGGTAATTCTCACAGGTAGGTCAAATTCAGACCAACGTCATCCTCACTAGGTAGGTCGTCAAAATTATTTCACCATTCTCTTGATGGAGGTGGGGGAGGGGGGGGGGTACAGAGGCTGGCGTTACAATGATTTGAGGGGAGGAGGGGACTTACATAATCTGTTTCACCACACAGAACTTATCATGTATATTACAAGCAATATATCATAAGTGTGATTAGTGTTTGAAATGAAATGTCATATTTTCATGGACGGTCTCCGCCTAATGTTTGTAAATCAGGTATATGTTATTTTACCTCATGGAATACTAAATACCTGTCTTTTATCCTTGTATAACCCACCTTCAGTAGTTTGTGATTTGAAATTCTTTACTGAACATGAAGAAATTTACCAGTTTCAATTACCTTATGTTTTATGGAATATAGTTATGTATTTGTCATTCATGCAGAAAGCATTTACAAGTTGTAACATTCCTCACAATTAAACTGGCAGCTCAGTAATTATACCTATGAAACCTGTCATGAAAAAGAAATTTAATCCATCGGGTTTTTAAATCGTTCTGGTAATAAGGAGGAAAAATTAAGCCAATTTCAATATAACAGAAATTTAAGTTGATGGATATATATCAGGTTTTGACATTTTATCTGAGCTGTATGGTGATTCTATGTTGCACAACCATATGTGAAGATATCACAGGTTCAATTTTCTTTTCAAAATAAGCTGTAAAACTTAATGTAGTAGAAGGACATATGATTCAGTACTTAAGGAGAATGACACTGAAATAGAAAAGCTACTGTAGAATTTCCCGATGTTGTACAGTGAAATAGTTAAGCTACTGTAGAATTTCCCGATGTTGTACAGTGAAATAGTTAAGCTACTGTAGAATTTCCCAGTGTTGTACAGTGAAATAGTAAACCTACTGTAGAATTTCCCAGTGTTGTACAGTGAAATAGTAAACTTACTGTAGAATTTCCCAGTGTTGTACAGTGAAATAGTAAACCTACAGTAGAATTTCCCAGTGTTGTACAGTGAAATATTGTTAGAGTAGGCTTTTTGACATACAGCGATGTAGTGGTGGCATTTAAACAGTATATATACTGAAGAATAGCCTTAGGTAGACAACTTTACACATACCTACAGAAAAAAGGTAACAGTATTAGGGAAACTACTACTCTTATCAATACAGAAAGGTTTTTACATCAACAAATCAGCTCTCTATTTTCATAATTAGCAGTTCAGGAAAAATAATGATACTGTTTGTCACAAATTCACATTGTCACCAAACCTTAGGTGTCTTGACAAATATCGGGACACGTCACAGTTTGTCTGATTAAATTCTGCTTCTTCATACCCTCCTCGAATATGAAGAGATAACAAATCTGTTTTCTTTTTAAATTTTCATCTAATTTGATATTATCAGTAGATTCTGTTTGTCATCACTTCCAACAACAAAACTGAATCCTCTTGTGAAAATATCCCTCTCTGATTTAATCTCAAGTCTGTATCATCCTTTATAGGCAGTTCTACATGCGTGCATACATTTTTAAATACAAACAACCAGTATACAACAAAAGAGTTATTTCTGGGTACAGTCTTTATTCATTATTTTATGTGAAACCAGATATTTAAGTTTATGAACTGTGAAGCTTGGAAGGAAAATTATGATCGTGTTCAGATATGAATTTGTTCTCTCTTATTGTCAGGTTTATCTAACTACATTTTAATGAAATCAGAAATGTGAACAAGGCTGATCCAAGTTGTTTTCGTGTCAAGGGCTGTCACGGATCTGTTAAATATATCACAGATACCAGCCTTTACAGTTATGGAGAGAATTGCTAAATTCTTTCATTTTATTACATTTAGTGTTAAATTTAGAATCGGATATATCACAGAGACCCAAATTATGAAGCACAATTTTATAAATTAGGAATAGGCGATCCAAAGCCCAGCTAAAGTGTGCAGTAAAGTTCTGTGATGCCCAGCTAAAGTGTGCAGTAAAGTTCTGTGATGTCTAGCTAAAGTGTGCAGTAAAGTTCTGTGATGTCTAGCTAAAGTGTGGTGTAAAGTTCTGTGATGTCTAGCTAAAATGTGCAGTAAAGTTCTGTGATGTCTAGCTAAAGTGTGCAGTAAAGTTCTGTGATGTCTAGCTAAAGTGTGCAGTAAAGTTCTGTGATGTCTAGCTAAAGTGTGCAGTATAGTTCTGTGATGCCCAGCTAAAGTGTGCAGTAAAGTTCTGTGATGTATAGCTGAAGTGTGCAGTAAGGTTCTGTAAAGTTCTGTTATGTCTATCTAAAGTGTGCAGTAAAGTTCTGTGATGTCTATCTAAAGTGTGCAGTAAAGTTCTGTGATGTCTAGCTAAAGTGTGCAGTAAAGTTCTGTGATGTCTAGCTAAAGTGTGGTGTAAAGTTCTGTGATGTCTAGCTAAAGTGTGCAATAAAGTTCTGTTATGTCTAGCTAAAGTGTGCAGTAAAGTTCTGTGATGTCTAGCTAAAGTGTGCAGTAAAGTTCTGTGATGTCTAGCTAAAGTGTGCAGTAAAGTTCTGTTATGTCTAGCTAAAGTGTGCAGTAAAGTTCTGTGATGTCTAGCTAAAGTGTGCAGTAAAGTTCTGTTATGTCTAGCTAAAGTGTGCAGTAAAGTTCTGTTATGTCTAGCTAAAGTGTGCAGTAAAGTTCTGTGATGTCTAGCGAAAGAATTTCACATGGAAAACAAGAGTCTGGGTATACAGTATCAGTATGTAAAGATGACCATGGCAACGTCTGGCTGGGTTGATTGGCTTTAATCAAGGATGTTGACTAGTTTCAACTCTTAGGTGTGTCATCATCAGAATAAAATTTCAAATAGAAACAATTGGTTATAATGCTAGGCAATGTATTTTGAACATTATAATTGAACCCAGGCAGATGTTATTATGGTCGTCGTTACCTATTGAAAGCTCAATTTTGTTTATAATTTTGATATACTAGAGTTTGGGGCCAGTGTAATATCAGAAGATTATACAGTTTTTGAATACAGGAATGTTGGTATAGCTTTCCAATCTACACATGTGTATCAATATAGTGTTACTGTTCACAGACTTACAAACCTGAAATAAACAAATGAAAATAATATGTGTTGATGATAAAATTACATAAATAATAAATGTTTTATTTGTGTTTTAGTCTGTAATATAGATCCTCAGCATTATATAGAGACACTGGGATGTGAAGAAGGGTGAGAAATGTCACACCTGTTGAGTTATTTTTGTTAACCTGTGTTCAACAGGTATGTCCCATAAAAAAGGCAATTACGTTTACCAACCCACAAAATGATTAAACTCCGGTTGTTATAGTGTTGGAATAGGGATGACTTGTTCTGCTTTTTGGAGTGTGAAAAGGATAGTTACAAAAGTCAGTCAGTAGTGTCATATTTCTATACCTTAAGTAAAATAGAATCACAAGATTTTAAATTCAGAAGTGTTCTCAAAGAAGACTAATGTTAAGTGCAACGATTTCTAAAATATTCTATCAATGTTTATGAAACATTATGGAATTACTTTCTCACTTGAAAAGGTGCATATAGTTTGCCAGTAAATACAACATTTAAGACATTTTTGATAGTTTTATAATTCAAACACTACCTGGCTGCCCCTTGTAATGTGATTAACTAAGTATCCAACAACAGCTTCTGTAAGTATACTCGCTGAATCTATACCAATTAATATTTCTATAAAATGACTTTAAATTTACTGACACCAAGTGATTCGTGTGTAGAGTAGGATTTATAATCAAAATTTTAACGGAACATTTCTGAAATGTTCGTGTTAAAATCTTTAAAGACAACAGATTAAAGCTATAGGTAAATATGAAATTACTACAAAAATACTACTGTTAATTGTAATCGTAGTGAATTGTATATAGTTTAGAGGCGATTAAGAGATATAGCTGTTGTCCTTTAAAATGACCCTGGCAGTAGTACAGTGAATGCCAGGTAGGCCATTCTGTTTATCTTAAAGCTGTAAGGATCAGTTGTGATTAATGGCAGGTTTCAGATCTCACAAACAAACATTGTTTAACAGTTTGTACTTTGTCAATCCTTCTAAACACATCTAGTTTTTAGTGTTGACTTTACAACTGGCATTGATAGAATTTGTTATGATAAGGTTCCTATAGACCATTACTTAAGCTGAATCCTTTACAAAAGGATGAGACTTTCCTGTACCTTTAGGGATCAGTAGGTCCTGTCATGTGTTGACTCACAACTGTTCCTCATTAAGGGCTTGAGGTGGTATTAGAAGTTAACTCTATCACACCTTTAGGATACTTAAGCCCTTTCGATCAAAGCTGGAAGTGTTGCACCTTCAGGATCTGAGGTGGGGAAAATCACCAGGGCCAAGCTAGATATCTCCACATGCTAAATTCACAGTCCCCTACTGTGATAATAACAGTTGTTTTGATCAGCTGTTTGTAAATATTGTTATTAATATCATGTTATATAGGGAAATGTTTTACATGGGATGTGCTAATTATAGCTCCTGGTGGAGATTGTAATTTTCTAGTTGTGTAATGTTTTACACTGTGCCAGTAAATGGTTTTGTACCATTTACAAACATATCGGCTCTGTTTTATTTGCTTTTGATGTACTTCGAAAATCAAACTTCCAGCTCTATGGTGAAATAAAATAGCAACAAATCGAAAATTAATTTGGTAAAAACATATTTCTGCAGATAGAAAGTTATGACACTGTGACAAGTGATTTGATGGTGTTTTTAAGGAGATGAAAGACTTGGGGAAGGGGGGATGTTATTAAAACTAAATTATGTGAATTTTCAGCACTAAGTTATTAGAATTTGATTATGTGTAGAGGCCCAATGATATCCCCTTGCGTGGGCCTGGAATGTTATAATTATGTACATTAAACTTTCATTCCTGGCTTTCTTCATGATTATTTCATTTCTAATATCAAATCAGAT